CGTATTTTCGCTCTATAAGACGCACCAGACCACAAGACGCACCTAGTTTTTGGAGGGCGAAAACAAGAAAAAAAATATTCTGAATCTCAGAAGCCAGAACAGCAAGAGGGATAGCCGCACAGCGAAAGCAGCAATCCCTCTTGCTGTTCTGGCTTCTGGGATAGCTGAGCAGCCTGCATTCGCGCTATAAGACACACACACATTTCCCCTTACTTTTTAGGAGGGAAAAAGTCAGTCTTATAGAGCAAAAAATACGGTATTTATTTGATTTCTAAGTTTATTTTCCACTACTAAAGGCTTGAGTAGCCACTTCAGCTCTGTATTTCCACGAAGCAGTCTCTGTTCCAAGCTGTTGTGCATACTTTTTAATATTAACTGGAAAGCCATTACCTATGGATACATTGCGTCCAGTGTCAGAGGCGATATTTCTGTGAATACTAGTTGCTAGGGAACACAAAACAGGACAGGGCACTTGCCTCCATGCTCTGCTTGTCGACTTCCCAGAGGCATCTGGTTGGCTGATGTGGAAACAACATACTGGACTAGGAGAGCCTTTGATCTGATTCAGCAGCCAGCATTTTCTGAAGTTCTTATGTACTAAACACTTCACTTACCTTCAAACAGGGGGCGGACTCTGATAATACAGCACCCTTTAGAGAGGACAAAATTTGGTGACACCCCCCCTGTTATGTACTGAGTTGAATAGGATCCGAAATGTAGCAGTCTGATTGGTCCTAGAACAATAGGATCCAGAATGCAGCAGTCTGATTGGTCCTAGAACAATAGGATCCAGAATGCAGCAGTCCGATTGATCCTAGAACAATAGGATCCAAAATGCAGCGGTCTGATTGGTCCTAGAACAATAGGATCCAGAATGCAGAGGTCCGATTGGTCCTAGAACAATAGGATCCAGAATGCAGCAGTCTGATTGGTCCTAGAACAATAGGATCCAAAATGCAGCGGTCTGATTGGTCCTAGAACAATAGGATCCAGAATGCAGCAGTCCGATTGATCCTAGAACAATAGGATCCAAAATGCAGCAGTCTGATTGGTCCTAGAACAATGCAGCGGTCTGATTAGCCCACAGGAGCCACCCAATCCAGCTCCAGGTGGAAGTGAATCCGCAACCTGATTGGCCTACAGGAGAATTCCAGAATTAGCCCATCACGTGGGGCCCATTGTGTAAATAATATATATAAAGCAGACATTTTGGGGGAACTTTCATTCCTCGCTACTATGAGCTGAATAAAGAGCATGAAATCCACACTCGACTCTGAGTATATTTCACCCCCTACGTATTTCTTATTTTCACAATTCCTTTTAATGCTGTTGCTTTTTACAGATCTTCTCAGCAGGCACCCATATACATAGATGCATTATGTCACACGAAGGCTGGCAACATCAACCCCGCCTAGAGAGAATCCCTTGCAGATGACCGAAGGCCTGGAGACAGTCAGGTTGTGTATCCGTAGCAGTGACCAGAGGAGGAATGACCCCTGGGAGAGAAGAGACGCCATGGGGCATCTGCAGCAGCGCAACCGGACGCCTTCCTCTGCCCCAGCTGCAACAAAACATGTCTCTCCCATATTGGTCTCTGCTGTGGCTGCAACTTTTCAACAGTTTGACTCCACGCCCAAAGATGCATTCCTCCATTGTCTCCCAAGACAGATGGATGCTAACAAGGCATTGAAAAATCCAGCAAACCCCCCATTCTGCCCCGCTCTGTTCCACCCCTTTTTGTGACGTTTTTGGGCCACTTCCGGGTTCAGCACAATGCATCGTCACGGTTGAACACATATCAGAGGTGCCTAAAATGGCAGACACTCCATGTGCTCCTATTTTCCAGGGCTATTCCTGATTTAGAGAAGCTGTCCCAGTTTCTGATTTGATCCCAGAATGTCCCACTTTTCATTGGAGAAATGTTGGAGGGTATGGTGTTATCCAACCCCCGAGCCGTCTGAAGGCAATCCTGTATAGGGATTATGTTATGTACTAAGCTTGGATCCTAGAAGAATAGGCAAGTAGGATCGTAGAATGCAACAACTGATTGGCCTGCAGGAAAAGACTAATCAGGCTCCAGGATGGAAGCAGAATCAGCCAATCAGACGGGACTCATTGTGTAAATAATGTACTGTATTTTTCGCCCCATAGGACGCACCGCCCTATAGGACGCACCTAGTTTTTTTGGGGGGGGGGAATAAAGAAAAAAAATTTATTTCCCCCCCCAGGCACGGGGCTGGCGCGGGGGAAGCCCGAGCTTCCCCCGACCCCAGCCCCCAGAACAGCCTGCTATCCGCAAGCCTAGGGAGCCGCGCCGGTCTCCCCAGGCTTGCGGAGCTGTCGTGGCTCCAGGCGCGCTCTTCAGCGCGCCTGAGGCTTCGGAATGCAGGCAGCTCTGTGCAGCCCTCGGGAGCCTGGCGCGGCCGCGCCGGGCTCCTGAGGTGCGCAGGACTCCTGAGCCTGGAGAGCGGAGGGTCGGTGCGCACGACCCTCGCTCTCCAGGCTTCAGCGAGCCTGTATTCGCCCCATAGGACGCACACACATTTCCCCTTCATTTTTGGAGGGGAAAAAGTGCGTCCTATAGGGCGAAAAATACGGTATATAAAAGCCTGAGGTTTGGGGGGCAATTCAATCACTGTTTTACAAGCTGCAAGAAAGAGCATGAAGCCACTACAGGACTCCGAATATATTTCATGTTTAATGTTTTATTATTATTTTTATATATGTTGGAAGCTGCCCAGAGTGGCTGGGGCAACCCAGTAAGATGTGTGGGGTATAAATAGTAAAATTAATAGTAAAATTATCATTATGGAATGGGATGTCCCTATTTTCACCGGAGAAACGGTTGCTGCCTGTGTAGGGCCATAGCAAACCCCCCCAAAGGCCTTTCTTAGAGAGGAGAGATCCATCAGGAGAACAAGGCTGGCATTGATGGAACAGGCTCAAATATTTATTATTCAAGGTTGTATAGAGATAAGCAGACTCAGGAATGCACACTGCCGTGGTGTGGTGAGGCTGGTGAGGCCATTGCAGGAAGGAAGGGGGGGCAAGCCCATGTAAGGACATAGGAAGTTGCTATAACTTTCGATTTCCCAGAAATCAGGTGGATTACAAGAAATCAGGTGGTATTGTATTCTGCAAATGTATAAAAAGCTGGCTCGCTCTGAATTGGGGGGCAGACATCGGGCAAACGCGTGTCTGTACCATTTTTTGTAATAACAAAATAAAGAGATTATTCCTGCTGTTATTTTGACTCTTTCAAGCGTCTCTATTGCTCCAAGGATCTCATCAGATAAGGAGGTCATAAATCATTTCCTGCACCTGTACATTTCACCATAGTGCATGAGCTGGCTGTGACCAAGTGACCTGTACAGGTGCTGCTAACTGCTGATGGGACAATCTCCTCCTCCTTCATTGTAGGATTCCCTGTGTTTCATGGGACTTGGCCTGACAGAGAGCTTTTCTAACAGAGGAATATCCTCTGTGGAGTAGGATATCCTAGAACTATGTGATCATAGGGTGTCCAGCTAATTTGTAATTTTGCATTTATATATTAAATGCAGAATGCCTCAGCAGGTTCATTCTCCATTTTAAAAAATTACATAGGTACTGAGAATGACCCTTCTTTGCCTAAGATCTTGGAGAGCTGCTGCCAGTCGAGGTAGACAATACTGGGTTAGACGGACTGAAAGAAAAATATTCTGGTCTGGTATAAGGCAGCTTCTTTGAAAGTTTTATACTATGTGTTTTGTGTCAAACAGGTTGCAGTGTAGATGGGGAGGGGTTTGGAGATGATTCTGCTACAGCAGGCATGTCCAAAGTCTCTTTCGGGGGGCCTAATCCGGCCCGCTCGTCGGTTTAATCCTGCCCCTGTGGCAGTTTATTTCTTTGGTTGGCCCTTTCGTTGGTCCTCATGGCCCTTCACTTCATCAAATTTGGCCCTCTTTGAAAAAAGTTTGGACACCACTGTGCTACAGGATTTTATATCTAGTGAGGTCCCTGCTCCTAGTGAGATTTGTAGGCCGAGTGCCCAGGGCTGGGCTTTTCTGTGGTGGCCCCATGCCTTTGGAATAAACCTTCCCTCTGAAATAAAGGCGCACCTCTTTGCCCAGTCTTCTGGGTGGCATATTGGGTATCTGAATTTGTTGATCTTGCTGGTTTTCTTTGTTATTAAAATTTGAATTATGTTTTTTGTTCTTTTGGCTTGGGTCGTCTCTATTTCTGCCCTGGACATTTGGCTGCATGATAAACAAACACCTTTAATAAATAAAAAACGGAATCAGGGTTTCCTACTGAATTTCAAAGGTATTTAAAGTATCATAAATTTTGCATTTTGTGGCGCCAATTAAAAACATAATTTTTTTCAAAGGCTTCTGACAAATTCGAATGATGTTGTTTGCTGCTCATGTTTGTGATACTGAGGTTTTTTGCTTGTTATCCAGAGTTGTTTTTCTTAAAAAATGAATTGGGCATGTTTCTGCGTAAATGTTTCTTTTAAAATATATATGATGTGTTTTTATTTGTGCTTAAATTTTGCAAGTTGCTTGCGAAAATTTCTATGTAACAAGTATCCACCATGTACTGTTTTTGTTTGAAACTTTGGTCTCCGAATTTTATTTGAACATGACATAAAAATAAACATAGGCTTTAGCTGAGATTCCTGAATTGCAGGGGGTTGGACTAGATGACCCCAAGATCCCTTCCAACCCTTAATATTCTATCATTCTATAATCCTGCCTTAAAGGCGAAACCTAACCTTCCCCATGGCAACCAAATCGAGCTTGGGCGGGCCTAGCTGCGCCTCTGATTGGTCCGCCGGCGACGGAGGCGCTCTGTCATTGGCCGGCTACCCCCGTGTCACATGACCGACCATCATGGCGGCGCCCAGCGAGGCTGTGCCGGGGTCTGGGATTTCGCCCGCGGTTGCTGCGCCGGGGGCTTCCGCTGCTGTTCTCGAGGGCGCGGAGCGGCCGCCCGGCGGCGGCAGCTGCTGGGAGAAGCCGGCTGTACGAGCACGCGCGGGGCGGCTGGACGGCGCGTCCTCGGCTGAACTTGGAGGCGCTGAGCGCGCAGCTGGGCGAGGCCGAGCGGGAGCTGGAGACGCGCAAGGGGCCCCTCGGGCCGCGGGACCTGCGCGAGATTGTAAGCGCGGGCCGTGGGTGGGCTCGGCTGGGCGCGCAAGAGCTGTTGCTCCCGCTCTCCTGAGGGCTTAGCCCCAGAAGGTGCTTTAAGCGCCAGGAGTTTAAACCAGCCTTCACCAGCTAGCGTTTATTACTGAAATTTTATTGATGTTAGCCGCCCTGAGCCCGGCTCTGGCCGGGGAGGGCGGGGTATAAATAAAAAAATATTATTATTATTATTATAGCCGCCCTCTTAGGTGGCTAACATTGTGTATGCAAGCCGCTTTGCCCTGGCTTTAAAAATGATTCATTCAAGTTTCAGGTTCCACCTGGCTGTCAAGATTACTAACAGCCTGGTCATGAGTGTCTAAATAAAGGCTGTGAAGCCACGCCAGGGTAAAAGGTAACAGTTCTATGGCTCTCAAGCATCTGGGTGTCAAGGGAACTGTTTCCAGGTTCTTGCATTAGCAGCTTAATGTAGCTGAAGCTCCATACATTTTCCTTCCATTGTTTTTCACTCTCCACTTCCAGTACTACCTTCTTCTGTGCATACGATCTGTTTTTGAATAATCTTATTAAACTGCTGTTAGGCTGTATCATATTTTTCTTCTTTTTTCCTGATGCCTACTAGGTTGCCACTTGGCAGAGATTAGTCGAGGTGCAAGAAGAAATTGCAGTACTTGAAGCTGAGAAAGAGAAGGTGGCTGAAGAAGTGGGGAATATTGTGGTGAGTCCACATTGTAGCAACTATTATGGAGCAACTAAAAGGGGCGCTTGGTGGCGCTGTGGTCTGAACCACAGAGCCTAGGACTTGCCGATCAGAAGGTCGGCGGTTCGGATCCCCGCGACGGGGTGAGCTCCCGTTGCTCGGTCCCAGCTCCTGCCAACCTAGCAGTTCGAAAGCACGTCAAAGTACAAGTAGATAAATAGGTACCGCTCCGGCGGGAAGGTAAATGGCGTTTCCAGCGCTGCTGCTCG